GAAAATTAAAGTTTCTCAAAAATGACTTTTTTTGAACGTCAAACTTTGATCACACTAAAAAAACATACTTAGGTCCGGAAAAAGTCTTTAAAAATAAAAGTTTCTCAAAAATAAATAAAAATGCACTTCATTGCTTTAAAATATGTAACTGTGTCCTGATTTATGGTTAGAATTCAGAAAAAAATTACATTTTTGGAACCTTAACCTATGATAAAAGTAACATACTATACTAATAATTACCTGATGAATGTTGAATGTACTTCCTAAGTACTGAAGCAGATGTTCAGGGTTCATTGACCCTATGTCAATGTGCCGTATATACCGAAACACCTCATTTGCAAACATGTTTGAAAACATATACTGAAGAATAAAAAATGATGGCGTAAAAATGGAACTCGAGTCATTTGTACTCATGGGACACAAGTATCAACTTACTTCTTACAATGCAGTCGTTTTACAACTTCGCCTTCATTGTTTATGTCTTAATTAGGTGACGTTATGGCCGTGATGACGGATGACCCATCATCTGTCATTAATAATTTATATGGACAACATTTAAAAAAAGATTTTCGGGAACATATCTAATCTCAAATTTGTCTTTTGATGACAGGTCTTTGTGTCACCTGTCATCTCACTCATACACACAAACGAAGATTGTTGTGAGGAAGAAAGACAGATAGCCACATGCACACATACCCCCCACAACACACACGATCCCTACTGTTTCTATCACAGCCAGATACATATAAATGTGGGGTTAACAGAAACCTGATATCTCCCCCTAGAGCTGCAGATTAAGCCCAGGAGACAGACTATGTCAAAGCTAACACACACACACACAGACAAAAACACTGTGACTGTGCATTCAAAGACACACACACACACAGGTCAGCTTGTAGAGGACAGATAATTCACATATCTGGCCTCAGACGTTTATTTTGGCATGGTGTGCTGACAGGCACAGACTCGAGCACTGGTAGATGGGCAGCAAAGGCAAATGTGAACAAACAGGATGCCATGCACGCACGCATGACCACACGTCGACATACACGTATCTACAGACTCAGAAAAGAGGACGGAAAACTGCATACACACACAAGCATCCTTAACAATCAAGTCCACAAACTGAGCTGTGTAAACAAACAAACAAAAAACACACAACACCTGTATACTTTTTTGGGAATGTAAACAAGTGATTATATTTTTCAACAAATTCTACAGGAGAAACACAAACCAAAATCACTAATTAAACACCAGACAATTAAAATACATATAAGCAGCATGTTAACTTATTAGACTAAATCATTGTCATTACTATACTATGGTAATATACAGTGCCCCGTGCTTAATTTGTAAAGTGGGAGGTGGAAAGCATTGAACGAGTTGTTCCTGTGACTATATTTTTTCTCATTATGACACGGAGGTGGCGGATCCTGTTCCTTCAGGATTAAACTCTGACTATATAGTATTTTAATTAGAGCAATCATTTTTTTTAAAAAGTTTAAAAATAAAAATTATAGCCGACACGCTCAGAGTCCGAGTGTTACAATTGCTGTTAATGATGCAAGCCTGCCCCCTAGCGGCTATTTAGTGGATCCACAAATAACCTAACTGGTTTCCATTTCACGGAATGCCTTAAAATCGAGCTATTATGTCGCCCATTATTTTACTGGATGTTTACTCCTACGTACTTTTCAAAATAATATTGTTGTATTTTTAAATCCTTTCATCCTTTTAAGCAGATTTTTGACAGCAACAAAATCTTCATGGGAAGTTGACTAAACCTGTTGACATTAATTTACTGTAGGTACTGAATGTGATTCTGAATACTCACTCTGGCCTGTAGACAGGTAACCAATAGACGAGTCTCCCGCCCATAACCAGGTGGTGGGCTGAGAAGTTTAACAAATCTGTGAAGATGTCACTGAGGTAGTAGACCTGTGAGACAGCCACGTGAGACTCTACATAACTGGGAAGAAGATTGGAAGAGAAGTAAAGACAGGATTAGAATATTTGAGAATTCTGTTGTTGTCAGGTCAGACGTACTCAAGTATGTTTGCCTTACTGTTGAAATTGCAGCTTAATTATCACAAACACTTTTAGTATAAATGCCTTTATGCAAACACTAGGTGAACACTAACTTCTATAGAATTATTGTGGTCCAGATATTGATACTGAAGAGCAAAACGGCAGGAAGTCTTACATTCCATCAGCAGGTTTAGTGATCTCCTTGTGGGAACCTGTTCGTCTTGTCGACTCACGAATACCATATGGAGCTGATTTAAAAAAAAGATGGAACAGGTAATCAATATAATTTAAAAAAAAGCAAAGGACAAAGTTTTGCTTTTTTGCATTAAAAAAATCAAATTTACTCAAATGCAGCTATGTCAAAACTGAAACGAATTTAGTTAAATGTAGGACTCAACTTGAAAAAAGTACACGATACTCAAGTTACATCACATAATTTTTTTATATTATCTGATATAAGACAGCTCACTTCTACAATACAAAAAGCTGTATCTAAAAAAACAGAAGATATACCACAAGTCCTGTACTTAATAATGAGTAAAAAAAATAAAGCAACCTACGGTCAGTAATGATGGCATCAAAAAGAGGGTTTTTCCTCCACACAGACTTGGATGCATCAGACACCATTACATCCACGTACATCTTCTCTTTGTCATATTGACGAAGGTTGGCTCTGATATTCTCATCAGGCCCTCGCCACTTCTGGTTTTTACGGCTTGACCGACCTGGGACACACCCCACATTTAGATTTTAACAGCCATAAGATAAAATCAATTAACAAAAAATACCAAGAGAAAAAAAAAATAGCCAAGAGTAAACAAACCTTTCCCATGAATAATGTTGTAGTCTATATCTATTCCACAAACATAGGCTCCAAAATGCGAGCATGCTACTAACAGACTCCCTGTAATGGAAAGAGAGAAGTTCAACCATAACAAGCAAAAATTCACTGTTATAATCTGGCTGAAAACAGGTCTGACAGACATAACTCACCTGTGCCTACAAATGGGTCATAGACAAGGTCATTCTCTTTGACTTTAGCATGATTGGCCATGATGAATGACAGGCCTGCATCCATACTTGTGTTTCCAATAAAATGCCTGTTCTTCACACTGTGGGACCTAATCAGTTCACGCTGACCATCTGCAATCTATTTCAGGACAGAATTAGGACAAACAGTATTCTATGGAACATTTTACTTTTTTTATTTGTCATTTGGAAAATAAAGTGATGCAAGTCTTACCCATCGACCAAAATATATATAGTATGGATTCTCTGGGATGTCATTGGGGTCTGTGCCGTAATCTTCCAACAAACAGAAGACATGTTGTGGACTCTTTAGACTGACTGTGCCCTCAAACGGAATGTACTCCAAAGCCTGTATTTGAAAGTTCATCATCATCACACACACACACACACAAGCTAACCAAAAAGATACACAACACATATTTGGGCACATTACACAAATCCCAAACCTTACATCAATCCTTTTAATTCGTTCTGCAAATTCAAGAGTCTTGTTGAAGGTGTAGACATTAATTCTGTAGGTGGAGTCCTTTTGCATGTATTGTGTCTGTCCAAATAGAGAAGAAATGAACAATTAAAAATCAAAAAATATTCTTTTTAAAAATTACAGTAATAAAATAAGAAAAAAAATAAGAGCTTGTCTGTCAATACAATAGACTTAAATTAAAAGTCTGACAAACCATATTCTCCAATGCATAGTTCATAAGGGATGTCTTAAGGTCGCTTTGAGTCTGTCCATGGCCCCATAATTCAAAAGCAGACCTAATGACATATATTTACAACACATATATCTGCATTATATAACGATGAAAAACTAGTAATCTGTGATTAAATAATTGTAACATTTGCATCAACCATCAGCTGAGGAAATGAACTCCAACTTACTTTGCACAAACAGATCGTGCCATAAAGCCGCGGACATCATCCTCACATATACCATTCAAAATCCAGAAAGGAGACTAGAGAGTAGAAGTAAAAAGATGAGTGAACGTGTGGAAATCAGAATCATAGTTCCACAGCTTACCACACCAGTTGGACAAGACACTACACGGATCCACTACATCTCCATACCTTTTCTTTAAAGTTTTCCTCGGGAGAGAATGGTTTTCCTCTGAGAGCCAGCAGAGATTTAATCTCCTGCAGTTGTGAGAGGAAAGAGCACAACTATTAACATATGTGGGGAATGTTGATGCCTTAGGTCTGTGACTTAGATGTGGGCTAAGTCAATACCTCAAAGACTATACACTCAAAACAACTGCTGCGGAGCCATCGCTCCTGGTGAGTATTTATGTCATGTGAGTGAAATGTCCCGTTCGCAAATTGTGTTATATTTCTTTTTAAAGAAAAATGTGTCTGTCATTTTTAGGGTTTATATCCTTTATTCCTGTTTTCACAGTTTAACGAGTTATAAGGACAGATAGTTGTTGACACCAGTGCGTAATATGCATCCTTGCCTATAGATTTGTATAACAAATTAAATAGTTTAGCGCAATAATCACAAAAAACGACTGGACCGAAACTTAGCTTTAAAACAATCAACAAAAATATGACACTGGTTTATTTTTGAAAGTAATTATTAAAAGTTACCGGTAACCTGAAGTCCAAATTATCCTGGGCAAGATGCAACAAATATCTGAGGCATGATCGACCACACTGCGCCGCCATTTTTGTTGCGGATTCAAAATATGTCCGGCTTAACACGTGCTGCTGAAACACAGTACCGGTGGATATATTCCCATAAAAGGTAGAACAATAGGTATTTTCTCTTTTTTTCTTGCATGCGCGTGTGTTTCTACACGCAGCTAATACTACAGAACGTACAAAATACGTTATCACCTAGGTTCACATTTGTGCAAGAATTGCTCGTTTCTGCTTCGGAGGCACTTATGAAGTTTAAAGGAAACTTTCTGTTCCATGAATTCGGTCGTATTTTGTCCTGCCAACCCTTTCGAAACAGCGATTGGCTGTGTGCAGCTTCAACCTTATAGCCATTGGTCAAGCCCTATGTCCATAATGTAGTGTAAACATTTGGAAACGAAAACTTTCTACGTTTTCACATTGATAATGATTGGTGTCACCTACAGTGTAACCACGGAATCTTACTCGGGTCGCAGTGGCAGATCCGTGCAGGTGAAATGGGGAGTCGCGTGACATGTAAGGAAAACCAAGTCGGATTGCTGTGTTTTCATTAAATCATTTGTATGTTATTTTTTCTATTATGTTAACTGATTTTTGATGAACATGATGATGATTTGCATTTTTTCTTTAGGTACTCCCTTTTATTTGTTTCATTCTTGTACAAAATGTGCGTTTTCTCCCCGCTAAAGATCTCCGCACATATGTTGTTACTCCAGCAGGCTTTATTTATAAATATTGTGGTACCACCGTATATATTTTTAAATACAGAAGTGAACAGTGCATATTGTTAAACTCTGATCAGTCACATTGCGTTGAGTTATGCAGTCTCCTCCACAGGAAGGCAGTCACAATTCTAACATCATGGAAAATGAAGATAGTGACTCCACTTCAGCTGTTTCTGTGAAGCGCATGAAGGACAACTGGCAGAGGTGGTCTGACAAGCACCAGGAGTACCAGAAGCAGAACCCCTTCAGTCAAGCTGCCACGCCCAGCACAGTGGTCCCTCATAGGGGCCAGGATGACTATGGAAGGCCCATGCAGGGCTCAAAGACAGAAAAGAGGGGTAACGATGCTAACACGCACATCAGCAGAGAGGTTCAGGAGCTTTGCAAGGTGATAAGGAGCATTGGTGAGATGAGAAAGTCCAGCAGTGGTGGAGACCACATCACTGTACTGTTTGGGAAACTGTTTGAGCATTATGTGACTATCTCTAACAAATTAGTGGGTATTCTGCTACAAGCGAGAAAGCATGGGTTGGTTTACTTTGAGGGTGAGATGCTTTGGCAGGGGAAGGATGACAATGTTACAATTGCTCTCTTGTAGTGACCCAACACATCTTTAATAGTTGTTATTTATCCTCTCATTCACTGTGGAATTACACTTTCTTTAAAAAAGAAATATTCTGCATTTTCTGTACATAATCTTGAAAGACTAGACAAATCTGACACGGTCCTGTAAAATACCTTTGCTGGTAGAAATTTTAGGCTGAAAAATTGTTGATCTTCAACGTAAGCACCAAGTGATGCTCTTTAACTAATGAAGGGGGAGTGCAGAGAGAGAGGCTGTAAACTAACACCAGTGCTAAAGACTACAGGGACAACATTACAAGAGGATAATGTGGCTGAAAGGACTCACACTGAGAGGCAGCAATAAATTATTTACCTTTAAATTAGCACTTGTCAAAGTCCATATAATTACAGTGTATTTAATTCACATGCACAACCTCTATTTGCTCATATACTTTGTATTATAACACTGTTAGACATTGCATTAGATCAAACATGAGATGAGGAAAAAAAACACATTGATTTCACTGCTCTTTCATTTCATTGTCACTCAGCCTTGATTTATGAATGTGTCACTGTGTGCCTTTTTATAAATAGCTGCTCATTTTGTATGTTTTCACAATACTTTTATGCAGAATATTATTTTTTACAGTTGACAAAAACATCACATGCAAGAAACCAGGTGCATCATGACATTTTTGTCACAGTAAGATTTTGAAACATTTCTTTGATTTCAACATTAAGTACAATAAAGTACAATTCAGTTTCCTTTGTTGCATTGATTTTAAATAATCACTTGGTCCCTAAACTGTATAGGGTTAATGTTTAACTATATAATTTTTTATATAATTGGTATCATGAGATCTATATCTTTTTGCCACATGATTTATAACAACATAATTCCCTAGAAATCTCAAGCAGCAAGGAAACAATGTTTTACCTCCAAGTCACAACAGTCTCTGTGCGACCTAGAGCCTGGCCTGGAGTGGTCACTTATTTACTGCAAATGTTATTGAATGTGTTCCTACTGACAGCAGCATAGGTGTGTGTGGAGCAAAATGGGATCTGCATGGCAAGAAATGGTCTGAAGTCATCAACTTGTTTCTTCTTTTAAGGTAAGAAGTTCGATCAGCTGATCCGCCTGGAAAATAATAATTAAATGCATTGGAATTAACCATTTAAATGTGTCCATCCTAAAGCAGAATTCTGGAAATGAAAACATTCTTAGGCCATAACCATATCATAACAGATTTAATTTTAAAAAAGCAAATCACTCATTAGGACTATTACTTTTACAGTCTAAAAAAAGCAATTAATTATACATTTATTCAAAATCATTTATCAAACAAGCGGTCAGATATTTTAACAAAATAGTAAAAATGACATCTGTACAATTTCCTCATGTAGTATAAACAAAAAATTAGGTCACAGAACACAATTTTATTTACACTAAATACTACACAACGTCACAATTGTAAAACAGAAAAACGTTTGCCTTACTGTGATAAACCAATAGGAATTAAGTCGGTAAAAGAGTCGAGACGTGAAGCCCATTTGACTGGCAGGCGCTAGGACATGAAGGTGAAGATGTGCTACAGAACAAAATGGAGGCCAATGGAAACCCAACCTGTAGACATTGTAAAGGGCGTAATTTCATGTGACCACACAACTGATATAACTACGTTTGGCAACATTTATCTAATCCAGTCATTCTACAGTTGCAGTTTCAAGTGTTTCTGGCGTTAAAAGCGTTTTAACACTGATTTGTTTTCGTCCACGTTTTAGACATAATTTGTATCTGCATTTCTCTAACAAACGTTAATTAAGGCGACAACCTTCCGCCATTTCGGTTCGCCACAAACGCGAAGGCACATGCGAATCCCAGTAGTCGACTTTGCATGCATTAGATAATGTTCGATATTATGTCACATTTAGAGCCACGATCCGCTGTCACACTACCACCACCTACCTGATATCACTGAGATCGGTCACATTGTTTTTCTGTAGAACCTTTTTTCCTGTTTCAACCATTCGCTTTACTGTGAAAAAATAAATTATTTTTTATTATTATTTCTAGAAATAATTTAATATTTTTCAGCAACAATGTTAAATTGGCTTTCTTCGCCTACATTGTTGCAAACATAAATAAGTACAGCTTTTAAAATATTACAATGGATATAAATCCAAGTTGTGGTTCAGACAAATAATTTAATAATACAATTTTTTTAGAATCTTACCCAGTGGCACATGTTCTTTGCTAAGTGATTTACAGTTACCAATATGTCGAGTTGGAACAACAAGGTAGTGGTGAGGAGCTCCCGGTCTGATGTCCCTGAAGCACGAGATGTCTTCATCCTGGCACAGAAAATAATGTAAGTTTGATACTGGGGTTATCACAGGCTTAAAAACGCACACGGTGACGCTAAATAAACTACGGGGTACAGATATTTATATATACACACAATTAATTCCTGTTTTCATGGGGACATGTTTGCATGATACACAAGTGCTCCGACGCACAAGCTTCAAAATGGTCGCGAAATTCTTCTAAATTGTTACATCCTACAGGCCTACTTTACTTAAGATTCAATTGTGGTTTAGTGGCATAAAACAGAAACCTCCTTCAGTAAGTAAGAAAGTGTTTGTTGACCGACAGTTTTGAGAAAAAGGAAACAGGCTAACGCCTTTTAGCTACTAGGTGGTGGTGTTATTATTTATTATAAATGACGATAATCTCACACAGTGGAGAAGTTCCGTGCCAATTTCATTGTTGACGATCTTGCAGAAAATGCATTTCTTGTCGTATTGTCCAGCAGGGCCGTTGCTGGTTTTAGGAACACCGGTCTGAGTTTGAGGAGTATCAGCTGCAGCCATGTTGTTTTTCTACAGTGAAAACCATAAACAAGCCAGATGATGCCAGAGTTCATCGAGCGGCGGGGGAAGTGGAATGATTGCAGATCGTGTTGATTGTGTTCCTAGGTGAAAAACACTGCCATAAGGGAGAAGTGTTTCTCAGGATGTAAAATTAATGTTCTGGAAAAGTTATGATATTGGACAATTTCTTTGTCTTAATGACAAAGTAGTCTGTATTGTATTTATATTTTCTTTAAAATATGAGACACTTTGTCAGTTAGACTGCTTTGAAGATAAAAGCAATTTGTGTCAATTCCTACAATTCTACCGTTTGTTTTTACTTGATACTAACATCGTATGCACATTATTTTACTTAGTACTTGGTGTGTTAAAAATAACCAAATGAAATATTATGAAAAAGCTGGGAAGAGTCAAACTAATGTCAGTGCATAATTTTATTTTAATTTTACATATATATTTTTTGTATTTCTAATTGTGAATGTGTTCACTTTTCTAGTTTGTGTTTACATAAAATGTTTGAATTAACTAATGACATTACAATATTTATATATTTTTTGGAAATGGTGAAAGGCACTTTTTCATTTTTATTATTCAAGTATTACCACTTTTTTGTGTTAAGATCTGATGTAAATTATTTCAGATCTAGAGTCCCACTCATCTAAAATATAAAGTAGTTGATCCAATAGTTGCTAATAGTTTTTCTAATAATTTAAAGAGTCAAATCTGTTTTTAGTTTTGTTTATAAAATTGATGTTATGTATAAATTACATCAACTTTGGCTTATTAGTTTTTATTGTCTCCAAGTATGTGATCGGTATCAGACTTTGGAAGGAGAAAGTTATCGGTTGTTTGTAAATTTTGGAAAATTATTTTATTGTGCATTCTTGCTTACTACACCACTGAATATTTGAAAAAGTAAAAAAATGTAAAAATAAATAAAAATGCACAAATAATAATTACTTGGCAGCATGTTTTAGG